CGGGCGCCCCTGCCGCGCGGTGTGTGCGGGGCCGTGCGGGGCCCTCCAGCCCCTCCACAGCAGCTGTAGTACCGGCTCTTCGCGGGCGGCCGGGGCCGGGCTTGAGGCCCGGACTCCTGGGGAGCCGAGGGCCGGATGCCGCGGGTCTGGCTCCGCCGGAGGCCTTCCAGACAGCGCCAGGCCGCGCAGCCAGGCGGGAAGCCATCGGCGCCCAGCCCCGCCGCCCGAGGACTCGAGGGCCGGTGTGACCTTCGGGACCGGGCAGCCGCCCATCCCAGTCCGCCACGATGAAGCCCCGGCCCCCACGTCCACCCCGGGGTCTCCGCCTCCTGCCCCTTCCGGCCTCGCCTAACCCCCTAGGTTATACAGGTCACCCCGGACTCTGTACCCGGATGTCGGCGTAGTTCTCTGGCGAAACCCAAATAATCTAACAGTTTATTTTTTCTTGGTCGGTCCCGGGCCTTGAACTCTGGGCCTGGGCGCTGTCCCTCAGCTCAAGGCGGGCGCTCTACGGCTTTAGCCACAGCGCCACTTCCGGTTTTCTGGCGGTTTGTTGGAGACTTGCCCAGGCTGGCTTTGAACCGCGATCTTCAGATCTCGGCCTGAGTAGCTGGGATGACAGGCGGAGCCACCGGCGCCGGCTGACAGTTTATTTCTGAGACTCGGGCCTCACTGCCTGCCTAGGTCCTGGCCTCCACCAGGATCCTACTTTTGGCTTCCCACGGTGGCTGTTGGCCGCCGCCCCAGCCTCTTCCGGTGAGGGCGCAGGCCAGGGGCGCCTGCCGGTGCGCCTTCGAGTCAGGGGGCCTGCAGCCCCCTCGGGGCGGGCCTGGGACTCACCGTCTCCTCCCGACGGGGACAGAGTTCACTAGGATTCACACTGTTCACACTGGCTCTTCCCATTCGAGCCCAGCGCCCCAGGGTGGGAAGACACGCCCCGCCGTTAGGCTACTGCCTGCTCTTTGTTGGGAGCTCGAGGACCGCGGCGTTTCCCCGAGGCTGCGGGGCGGCCGCTCGGAGCAAGATCCAGGGGCCCTCCCGCTCGAGGTCCGGAGCCGCCGGGCCGGACACCCAGCGCCGGGCTCGGAGGTCTGGCCAGCCCGGCCCCGCCCCGCCAGGCCCCGCCCCGCCCGGGCGCGCCCACGCCGGGTCCCTCCCTTCGCTAGGCCCCGCCCATAGACCAGACCCTGTCCGGAAGTCCTTGGGGTCTGGCCCTCGATCCCGGAAGTCCCGGTCGCCCCACAACTCCGGGCGGCAGCGCGGCACCGCCTTCGTTCCCGGAAGTTCCTGCGACAAGGGTCCACCGGCCGTGCCCTCGCGGGTTCGCATCCCTCCTCGGCCGTGCAGGTACGCGGGGTTCTGGCGAGCTGTGGGCGCCGAGCTCCGGTTCCTCCCCGAGGGCGGGCGCGGGGAGGGGCAGCCGCTCCCGCAGCGCGGTTCCTCCCCGGGGGCCCGGGCGCTGGCTGACGGCGGGGCTTTGCAGGTGCAGACCGAGCCGCTGCCGGGCCCGCGATGTACATGCACGTGGAGGCCCGCACCAGCTCCCGCCTCCATCTGAAGAGGGCGCCGGGCCTCCGGTCCTGGTCGCTGCTGCTCGGTAAGGCCTTCCTTCGTACGCCCTTGACGCCCTGTCCGGTCTTCCCGTCCTGTCCCGTCCGGTGCACGGGGCGGCCCGGGCCTCGGCCTGTCCGGGCCCAGGCCACGCCCAGACCCCGGCGCCACGCCCAGGCCACGCCCAGGCCCCGGCGCC